GTGCGGACCCAGCACTTCATGAAATGTCTGCGACATTGCGTGCCTCAGCTGATGACGAGACAAAACAATGTGATGCCATCCCATGTCTTGGTTGCTGCAACGACCCCTCTGCAAAAAGTGAATCACTTCTTGTGGCTCCAAACCGGAAAAACCCCGACCTGCTTCAACCAACTTAAAGTCCTAAGATCCGCTACCTAAAAGCGCCATAAACATGTGAAGGACCTTTCCCTAGCCGAAGACCCCAAATATGAGGGCCTTAAACCCTGAAAGCCTCAAATAGTAACCTCAAATAGTAAGGTCTTGGGCTAGGGTTTTGATGCAACTCCAAAAAGTGTTTCAGTCCAAAGATCCGTTACATAAAAAAACACCACAGAAGGTGTCCACTGGATCTTTTGACCATCCCCCCCCCCAACAAAAAAGGAAAAATAACTCGCTCCTTGTCACGCGGAGCTGTTCGTTCGTTTGTCTTCCGTTGCCTTCCAGGGCGCTGGAAGGTGAGCATATGCCTGGGCACCACCCCGCGGTCCCAGTGGATCTGCGCCACCGATCGAATCATCTGCCGGGCCTTCAAGGAGTTGCCCGCGTCCAAGTCCTCCTAAGCGACGCGACGGGTTTTTCCATTGGACGTCCGGCGGAAATGGCGCCACAACCAAGTGTTGTTGGGTCAAATTGGAGTAGCATTTGGGTATGGGTCAAAATGAAGCCAGGAATTGAGCCGTCCATGTTTCCATGTACCAGGGCAAGCCATTTTGGGCACGACTTTTTTTGACCCACAGCCATTTGATGTCCGGTGGAAGGCGCCGCAATCTAGTTTTGTCTGGTCGAATCTGGTTTGGTTATGTGTCAACGCAGGCTGAGAGGTTAGATAACACAAAAACACATGTTATTGTTGGTGCACATGCAGCGAGACAAACAGAGGCATATTGACTGGAATGTGGGACACTTAGTAATCCAGGACTGAAAATGCAGATTTGACAGCTACATAGAGGCTTGACAACTACACACGAAAGCTTTGAGCCCCCGAACGAAGCTGTTTCATCTTTGAGGCTCCCGAAGCTTTGTCACTGACTTTCTACTTCTTCCTTTGGTACTGTGGATGAACAAACTCCTGCACCACTTTACAACCATGGGAGACCATTGTTTGTTGGTATTTGCAAGGGAACCATCATTCCAGGGGCTGTTAGGTGGTGCGAAACGGATTTCGTCCATCCACAGTATCACATTCTTGAAGCTGGTTCATCTTTGAAGCTCCCGAAGCTTTGCCACTGACTTTCTACTTCTTCCTTTGGTATCACATTCTGCGGGAATTCTAAGCTTTTCCATCCTCTCCTCCCGCAGCTTCTTTCGTGGCCAAGGCGCGGCAATCCGCAAGATGAAGCCCTGGAGCATGGCCAAATGGCTGGTCATGTGGCCTGCATCCCGAAAGAGCTCCAGCCAATTGCTCTGGCCTCGGCAATCTCAAAACCCACAAGGCAAACCGTGAAGAAGTTGTTGTTGACCACAGAATCAACCGTTTTTTTTTTTGGGGGGGGTCCCTCTCCAAAAGTGAACATGACCACCAAACCCAGTAGGGTGTGGCTCAAAATAAAAAAGAGCTAGGCTTACAAGGGTTTTAGTCTTTGTTGCCATTTACCAGGATCCTTTTCGGGTACATCTGCTTGAGCTACAGCCGCCCTATGGAGTTGGACACCCTATGAAAAAAAACTGGGGTTCTGCTTCCTCCTTGGTCAGTACACCCTATGGAGAAAAAAAAGCCAAACCCTGGTAGTCTCTGGGTCTTCCTTCCGCCGGTTCCGGTCGCTCGTTCCCCGCCGTGCGGCCTCCGGGGACTTGGTTCAAATTCGTCTCCAAGGCCTCGATAAAGCCCTCCGCCTCGAGTGCAAAAAAGGAGCAGACGCGTCGCTTGGTCGCTTTGGCAAGGCTCGAAGAACCCCGTGTTGCTGGGTTGGCCTGCCTTTTGTCTTTGGGGGGGGGGGGAAAGCACCCCAAAAATGGGTTGTTGTTGTTTTTTTTGGGGGGGAGGGAATCGCCCATAAATTGGGCTCACAAAAAGAAAGGAGAGGTGCAAACCAATCGAAAGGAATATCAACTATATGTCTCAAAGAACACTGTGTGACTAAAAACCAAGAAACACAGAGATGCGCCTCCAGAAGCAGGTGTGGTGCCAACCCCTGTTTCACTATGAGCATTGAACAGCCTCCGTTTACTTTCCCCCCCTTGAGGGCACCGAGTTGCAACTGGCAGTTTTTCGCATCTGCTAGTGTTGATCCCGGAGTAATAAGCAGCTTATGAATATGGGGGTTCCTGGTTTTAGTGGGGAGTCCGACTCACATTTGGAGGCGAACACCCTCATATTAATATAGAGGAGTTTACTACTCCGGGGTCAACATTAACAGGGCGCCCAGTTGCAACTGGCTGTTTCTCACACTTGTTACCAGCCCCCCCAAAAAAACTCGCCCGCCTTGCTGCTTTCTTGCAGCAGAGTCTTCACGGTGCAATACAGCCCAGGCCGCGCGCTCTCCACGTCTACGAGGCCACTTAAGAACGGAGCCACCTGACCGACTGTGACTTGACCTATGAGGGGTTTCACCACTGATACGATTGAAGGTGCTGCCTCAATGGGAATAGAACCCTCGAGGGATACACAAATAAACAAAAGTACCATAGTGTTGGGGCATAACTCCAAGTGCAATGCCTGAAATGTTCTTGATAGGCTCACTTCCAAAAACTCGCTTGGATAGGCCAGGTTGGAAGTCATCAGAAGCAACTGGTTGAGACATGATCATGCGGTTGCCTACTACCGTGGTACTTGGCACTGCATTAAACTGGGCTACAATTTCTTCACTAGAGTTGACCACCCGCAAGCTGGAGGAACTCCTTTTGGCTGAACCGCCAAGAAAGGGGTACCGAGCCTCAAAAACAGGAACCACTGCGAGGTATCTTCTAGCCAACTAAGTCCCTTCCCTGCAACCAAACCGAGTTGGCGGCCTTTGAGATCGGAGCCAACATGACTACATCTTACCTGTTGAATTTCCGAGCTTCAAGCTGTTTGTTGGTATGTGTGCTCATCTTGTCAAAAGGCCTAAAGTCCTAAGGTTTGTTTCAACTAGTGCTCATCTTCTTGAGGAGACTCACCAGCTTTCCATGGCTTGCCTCAGGAGCGTATCATCAACGAGGACCGCCCAACCCAAGACGCCAGGTACACAACAAATTGGATAACGTTTAAGGAAATCTTCGTGCAGAGGGCTTGGTGGCTGCAACGACCCCGCCGCAAAAAGTGCATCACTCTTTGTGGGTCCAATGGAGAATCCATTTCCCGAAAAGTTAAAGTCCAAAGATCCGTTTCCCAACAGCAACAGAGAGGCTACCCCTTCCCGCTGGTCAGTATTGTTAATCCCCCCCTCCAATGAGACGAAGTCATTGACCACTCTTTCACTTGCTTACGGTGCCACTAACGAACATAGTGAATCGGTCAGAATAGTCATGAGCAGTTTCCTGGAATATCAACTGGACAACAAACAACACCTCAAACAATGCCGGACTGCTACGGGCACAGCCAGGCAAAACTTCCAGAAGCCACGCTTACATAGAACTTATTCAGTTAGGGAAAGGTTGAATAATATACTTTTGGAGGGGACCCCATACAAATTGTTGCAATCAGCATATCTCCATTTTCTTGAAACTCCCCTTTGGGTCATGCTCTGCTCGTGGGAAGTGGTGAGGTGTGTTTTTTTGTCGATGCCCAGGTGCCACGAAATGGCTCCACACTACGCTCCAGGCGATCTCCGCGTGCAAAGACAGGCCCGACAGCTTTGTGCTCAGCGTTTGCAGCAGCGCGATCTGGAACAAGCAAATGTAGGAGGGCTGGATACCTCGAACGTCGCGTCACTTGCGTCGGCTGACAGGCTGACGCGGCTGTCGCATCACGGAGCGGACAGGCGGATGCGTCGCCCCTTGCAAGGCTGGTAAACTTAGTTGCTTTTTTATTGGGCCCCAAAAAGAAGCGAGGGCCGGTCCACTGAACCTTCCACAAAAGGATCCTTGCGTATACCATCATTCGTGTGCTGGGGGCCAGAATCGACCTACGATTTAAGGGAGCTTTGGCACGGAGTATCTTCACTGATTCACACCCAAAACGCCAAGACAAGGCCCCCCTTAAAGGAGTATCTTCACACCCAGACATGGAAATGGAAACCTAAGTTGCTTTACCTCAAGTCCCCAGATCCCAGACGAGCCACTATATCAGGTCCCCAGCCCATCTTCCTTTACCTATAGGGAAATGGACTCACTGGCACCATCAACGGGGCACCCGGGCACCAGGCCAAGATGCCGTATGCTCTGTGACGCAAACCCAGGGACGTCATATCCCTCTCGATCCTTCTGAAGTCCTTCTCCTCGAGCCAGCTCAAGGCCACTTGAACGAACGCTGCGAAGAGCAGGGCTTGAGTCCGCACCTTGTCTCTCCGAAAGAGCTTGGCCAGAGCAGGGTCCTACGCAGTGGGAAATGGAATCCACTTCTGTGATATAAAGGGCTTTCCAAAGAGTAACCACCATTTCTTGGGGGGGAGATTCCCAAAAGTATTGCAGAAGTGGTTGGAATTCACTCCGAGTGAATTCGCTTGTATCGCAGAAGTGCTTGGATAATCCCGAAGGCCCTTGGAGATAAACCCCGAGTGATCCCACAACCAGAGCAGGGTCCTGCGTGAGCATATTATACATAGACTCCCCGAATTCCTCCAGCTTGATGCGTCGCCATCCACTCAGAACAGTGCCAAACATACCTCACTTGCCCCTTAGGGACCCATGAATAAACGGTGAACAACCTTTCGGGCCATGACCAAAAATGGCTGCCTAAATGGGAAAACCAAAGGGACCCATAAAAGCAGGACTAAAGTTGGTTGCCAAAATGGGAAAACCAAAAGATCAAAAGGTGGCTTTGGGACAACTAAGATACTGTCGAGCGAGCTATAGCCAGAGGCCTGGTTGAATGCATCTTGGCAGAATCTGCTGAGCAAGGCCGAGTGTGACGCGTCCGGGAATTCTGCGAAGACGTCCATCAAGCCTTCGAAAGAGCATTCGCATGGGGCCCAAACGGTCCCTTCATTTCGGGGTGGCCAAAATGGAAACCCACTACTTTGCAGGGCTCCATTTGTTTGGAAGCACCCTTTCAAGCTTTGCCGTTTGACACCAATCTCAGCAGAAGGTTACCCAAAACGTCGGTTGGTTTGTGAATAACAAGCCCCAAGCACCCGAGCGCCCAAAACTCCGCAAACATGCTGCTGCTTGGTGACTAAAGAGAAAAATCCTCGTACAAAACTTTCACAGCCCAGATCAAGCAAGGCGCTCTTTCGGAAGCTGTGCAGGGACACGCGCCCATCCTTACTCCCATGAGACAAACGGGCCATGTTCTTATTGGCTTCCCTCCAATGGGATCCAAAAAGCAGGTGTCGATATGATTTGAGGGGGAACCCCACGAAAAAGATGAACAATGCGAGATAAAAAAAATAAATAAAAATGGCCCTGCAACTGGGCATCTTGCTCGACGTCCAGCACATTAAAGCCTGCAAAGATGTGGCTCTCCGACACCCCCATCTCCTGCGATGGCAAACCACGGCTCGGGAGCAACCAAAGGGGTTGCTTGACGGTGGGCGGGGGGGTCAAAAGCCTTGCATGCCGACCTTCTGGGGCCACAGAACGCGGACTTCACATCTCCGAACATGCAACGATTCACATGGGGGTTGACCAATGTTCCGATTGGCCCCCAGTTTTGATCAACTTTTCCCATGTGGAATGATATTCATTGTTCATTTTACCAACCAATGGTCCCATGTGGACGGTTTGACCAAGCATGGGAATTGGCGGGCCCATGTCATGGAGCCTCAGAAGGCCAAACTTTTGTTTTTCCTTCTGCTTGGAAGCCGTTCCGCACTTTGGTTTGTTTTCACTGTTGGACTGACCAAAGTTTTAGACAAACGCACATCCGCAATCCTGGGGCGAAAGTTGCAATTATCGGTGGCAAAGTAGCACACGCAAATGCGAAAGTCGCAACTTTTCGGTACGGAAGCAGTAAGCGAAGCAAGCTTCGGCAGCCCGAGCTCGAAAGTCCACTTTTCAGTTCCAAAGTAGAAGGCCGTGAAGCAGCGCAGGATGGGGACTTCTCTGGCCACGCATGACCGGAAACTGGCGGGGACGTCCAGTGACTTTCGTGAAACTTTCGCGGATCTTGCTCGAAACATTCACGAACATCAAGCTGGGAAGTTGCGCTCAACTGGACCTGAAAGCTTCAAAACTCCAAGAAGCTGTTTGCGGCTGGGGGCCTGGGGGGTTGCTTTTGCAGTGACGCATTCTTGCGGCAAACCTCGGACTGAGCTTTCCTCCAACCAACTTTGGTTTGTCTGCATTTTGCCCGCGCTGCACGCAAATACGCATGGTTCATCAGTCCACGTCCCTTTTAGCAAACCACCCTTACGCCAAAACACCCACCTGACTTTCGCGACCTCATTGCGGTGCGGAGGCCAACGCAAAGACCACAAGGTCTTCCCCTTCATGTCTCAATACAAGCACCCACTCCCATTCTACCGCAAGGGGGAGCAGGTGATTCGAATTGCTAGAGGTCCACCTCCCGCCGGTACCGGATTTCTGGGAAGTGTCTAGGGCTCAAAAAGGTTTAAATATCTGGGCAAGTTACTATAACTCACAAACCGGCAGTCAGGCTCATGGAAAGAACCTTAACGAGTGTTGAACTCGTTTTACCCCAGAGCTTGCTGGCTTACAGCTTTGAAATCCAATCGGGGGCAATGGCAACACAAAGCGCCTTGCTTCCCTGGCCGTGAACAAGGCCTTTCTCAGTTGCGTGAGTACTGTAGAACGTGCCGCCTGAGACCCAGCGAAAGAACGTGCTCCAACCCAATCAACTCTTACAGGAAACACTGCGGAAACACCCATGAACCTCTACATGTGTTTGTTTTGATAAGACATCTGCGTCAACGTAAAGTTTACAGGGTTCCGCCCATTCCCGGCGGATTGCAACTATGGGATCTTACAAAGTTTAAACGCGACTGCACTTTTGCGCAGAGCTAGGGGCTACCCCAACATGGTGCGGCCACCTTTTGACTTCTTTACATGAACCATGGTCAAATCTCCTTATTCGGCCTATGGTCATGGCTCCCTTAAATAAGAAACATGAATATTTCTACTGGCTAGGACCATTACCACTAGGTGCATCCCCGTTAAGCCCAAGCAAAGGAGTCCTTGTGGCACACATGGCTCTAGCCATACCACTTGCGAGTATGACTCAAATAGGGATGCAGACCGACTCCCACAAGGGTGCTCGAAAACACACAAACACAGAGACAGACAGAGACTGGTGCAACAGTTGCGAGCTCCCCACAATTTAGGAATTGCCTGGAAATAGTTCTGCGTAACTTAGAAATAGTTCTGCAACATGGCAAGCTCCCTCACAGCAAGCCAAAATCAAGAGGCAGGCCGATGCTATTCCCAAGCGAATACAATCATTTTTCCGGTCATGGCTGGTTGTGTCGTACCAAGAATAGCTCTTACAAACTTGCTAGCCCAGTGCCCACTAACAAATAGTAAGGTGGCATATCCCCGACAGCTTTGCACCCTGGAACCCGAGCTGCGGAGCTGCTCTGAACCATCATTTTCGGCGTTGGGTTCTCAAAGGTTAACCGACTCAAAATAGGTGAAAAGGAAAACCATCTGAATCCGCTTGGCTTTCTTGAGCACGCGGCGTCCCGAGTGGCGGCCTCAGTTTCAAAACTGAAGGAACCTGTCAGTCCTAAACTAGGGGAGATCCTTTCACTAACATGTCTTTTCTCAAATCCAATTCCGCCTCCCACCAATTCACGTGGAAAAAAACAACTGAAAGACATTTCCCTGTCAGGTTCCATGTTCATTGGCCGGAGGGTATCAACATTCCGTTCGGGAATCCCTTGCGATCGCCTGGAGGGCCAAGCGGAAGTCCGAGTATGTGATGGCCATGGGGTCGGACACCGCCAGCTGGGCGAAGGAGGCATCCAGTTGGTCCATGCAGTACTGGTAGTGACACCGCAGGTACCTGCGGGATCGTTGGCAGAGAATGACTCTGCAACTCTTGGTATGGTAGTAAAAAAGGTTGTTTTTGGCAGCCCCCCCAGAAAAACAATGGAACAGAACCAACAAAACAAACACATGCCAAGAACAGTGAAGGAATGGGCTTGTGTCCCTAGGGGGTGACTTTGATGGTAAACACTGCTAGTAGCAATGTGGCTCTGTGTTTTTTGAGGCTACCCTTCAAAGGCAGAGGTGCCTAGTGAACAACAAAACAGCGAAGGCAGGTATCAGAAACAAGTCAAAGGCAACTCAACACCCTGACATCCTGCAGGCCAACACCCCCGTTGTACGGATTGTGTTTCTTATTGTTCACCTCTAGGAAGGTGTCCTCAAACACATTCTAGGGGTACCTTCCCCATTCTTTCCAGGGATCTTTCTTTTCAGGAAACCATCAAAAACCCAACTAGAACATTGCCTTGGAAATGGTGGTTCCCCTTTCTTTTGGTGTTGAACAAGCAACATGTTTCAAATGGTTGCAACATGTTTTGTTTTTTTCAAGGAGCCCTGATTCTGCTTCTTCTTTTTCTTTTCTAGGGAGCCAAGGGAGGCAAGGGTGTCCTCAAACACATGTTCCCTTCGCGGCTCCGAACGTCGGGGTGCATGAAGGCGTGCTTCTGGAAGATGGTGCTCACCACCGCCTTGGTCAGCAGCACTGCCATGGTGCCGTAGGCGCTGATGAATTGGCTCTTCGGCGTCATGGACGCGAAGAAGAGGAACCTAAGCCATGATTAGAGGCCTCAGTTATAGAATGTAGATTTTATGGTTTGGTTCACTTTGAGTCACTGGTAAAATGAAAAAATGTGTCTACCCCAGAAGCAAGCGGGCGTCACACAAACCACCACCTAAGGCGGGCTTCAACTGAGACACGCTTTTAACTCGCTTTTAACCACGAAAGCGCATTGAGCCCTTAACCCTGAAATGAGTTTTAGGCTTAACCCCGTAACACGTAGCAGAAACTTTTTGGGGCTAGGAGATTGTGTGGGCTTCAAAGAAACCACCAAAACTTGCGCCTGGGGTCAACCCTTGGTATCTCAAACCTGGTATCTCAAACTTGCGGACCAACCGGCACTTCCAAAGATGGTGACGCAAGGCCTTCCTTCTGCCCCGCTTTGGGGTCCTGCGAAGGCCTTCGCTTTTCTCAGAAACCGAAACCCAAAACCCAAACTCAAACCACAAACCAAACGCCCAACAAAAAAACAAACCAACATCCAAACAAAAAAAAAAACAACTCATACCAAACAGCAAACACCCAAAGCACAACCAAACTCCAGATCGTTTTAACAACTGAAAACCCAACCAAACCCAGAAAACCCACACCCAGCCAAATCCCAAACCAAAAACCAAACCCAAACCAAAACCAAAAACCCACCACGAAAAACCAACCAAAACCCCAACGAAGAATCAAACAAAACTGAAACACCAAAACCAAAAATACACATACTGAACACAAACTTAAAAGATAACTAAAGTCAAACAACAAGCCAACAGTAAAACACCCAAACTTTAAATCAAGAAACAAAACCCAAAACAATAAGACCAAAACCAAAACGCAAACAGACCTAAACCAAAAGCAAAACACTAAAAAACAAAACCAAAACACAAACAGACTAAACCAAAACCAACAAGCTCAAATCAAAACCAAAACTAAAAAACAACAACCAGAAACCTAAACAAAAACAAACAAACAGACACAAACCAACCAAAAGCCTACAAACAAGCTAAACCCTCCCCCAAAAAAGCAAAACAACTAAACCCAAAAAATCAAAACCGCAACCCAAGCAAAAGACCCAACAAAACTGAACCAACAAAACAAAACCACTCAAACAAACCCCTGCAAAAACCAAAACCAACCACCCGAACCAAAAAAACAAGTCCCATACCAAACAACCCAACGCAAAACCCAAACCAAACCAGAAACCAAATCTAGAACCCAAAACCCAAAGAAACAAAACCACAACGATACAAACCCGAATCCCAAAAACGCAAAACCAACAGCCAAAAGCCCAACCACACTCCAAATCAAAACCAAACACCAAACCAAAAGCCCAAACCCAAACCAGAAAACATACCCAAAACAAAAACAGCAAACACCAACCAAAAACCCAAGCCAAAAACCAAAACCGAAAATCAAAATTAAAAATGAGCAACCAAAACCCAAACCAAAAAAATGCCAACCAAAAAGCCTCAACCAAACCCCAACCCAAACACCACAGAACCCAGAAAACAAAAAGCACTACCCATTTTTTCCCGATCCATTGCTGTCCAAGGCGCTGTACCTCACTCTGAGGGTCCCAGTCGGGGATCACGGGACAGAAGAGGGCCCCCAACGTGATCAGCGAGCAGTAGATGAAGCACACCGCCACGCAGACCCGCTTCCTGGGCCGTGGGGGTTTTGGGCCGCGCAAGTTTACTCTTGTGTCACAACGGCGGTACCTATGTACTTGCTGTCGCAAAGCCTTTCGCGACTTGCTTTCGCGGCCCCGTGGCTGTTGCAGTCGCGGGCTTTTCATCATCAAGATGCAGGCTATTGCGGGGCTTTCGCGGCGGGACCTTCTTTAGGCACCTTCGCGATGAGCTTTCGCAAGCTTGCGGGGTCTATAGGACACACTCCCTTTACTACTTTGTATTGCCGGGGTTTATGGCGCTGCTCAATTGTTTCGCGCAGCCGAAAGCGCGATGATTTTGGCTTCCTGGTCTGGTTGCTCGCGCAACCGAGGGCGCGCCGATTGGTGATTTGTGTTTTGAAGCGTTCTGCTGCGGACAATGGGTGTCTTTCCAATTAGACTCGTTGCACCCCCAAACAAGTCATAAGTCGACTTTGTTGGCAGTTGACCCTCTGCCAGCAGTTGACACTCTGCCAGCATTTGGTATGTTGCAATCCTGAAAGTTGCTGCAGCCACGAAGCATGAATCAAAAACAAACACAACTATATATAGACCCACAGTTCCTGGAATTCACTTTTTGGGATCTTAACTAAAGGTGGACAAAGAGAAACCCAAAAGGTTTGGAACTGAGAAGATGGACTCTTCATCGATGTGCACATCCGCCCTTTCCCGGCTCTTTGTTCTTGCTAAGGGGCAGCTGCTTAGGCACATCCGCCGCTTCGGCCAAAATGATCAGAAAGGAGAACTGGAGAATCACTACGAGGTCCAGCACCTCAGGTCATACAAGACGTACAGGGTCGATGCAACGAAAGGGCGAGCACGTTCTGCCGGGCCAACTTACATGCCCCAAATGGAGATATCCCATCCAGAAGCTGGATATAGGAGTGGTTTTTGAGTATGTACCCTATGGAACCGATGTGTCCCATGTGTATCCACTAGCTTTGGGGTATACCCCTTTAAAGCATGCAAGGTGGCCCTTAGATTCCAATATTTTTGAGACTCCCCTATTGCTACTTCGTTCGCATTTCTATTGGTACTGAAAATGGGATTCAGGCAATTCGTTTCCGACCTGGTTGATTATTTATTGGTCACATCTTGTTCCGACAAACACGCCACCAAGCACCTTGAAATATGGTCATGAATCTTAATTGGGGACCCTTTGGCGGACATAATTCAGGCGGGGATTCGTGTCCACCAACCACTTGCGAGGTGGTTCCAACTCTTCAATTTCATGCAAGGTAACTGAAAGGAGCTTGGGGCATCCCTTGAGGGGAGTGACTGAATTGCGTCCAAGCTTACTATACCCGTCAGGTGGTGCTCAACCCACACAAATGGGTGTCTTTTTGTGAGGGTACCAATTTTATCTTACAAGTTGATTGAAGGCATTCGAACGGAAAAACGGGACCTGTGTTCAAACGCTCCCCAAACTCTTCCATACATTCTGCCCAGTGCCCAGTTCAACTAGCTTCCCTAGGCCTCCTTTGCAGCCTTGCACTCTGTGTCCGGACACCGTTTGGGTGTGTCGCGTTTCAGATTGGACCCCTTCCCTTTAACCCACTAAAAAGGCCTAATGTTGACCTATGATTAATAGATAGGGCCCCCCCCCCCTGAATGACCATAAATAAAGATTAGGGGAGAATCTGCAGGGTCGGGCCTTGTTTAAAGGAGTTTAGTATTGGGCTCAGTTTTTTGGTTTTCGAATACTACTTTAGAATTGGGCAAATTCAAAAGTAGTCTTGGGCATGTTGTGTTTTCTTATTTTGCTTTGGGGGAATACTAGTTTAGAATTGGGCCAATTCTAAAGTAGTATTGAGCCAATAACTTTTGGTTATTCCAGGAAGAATCTGGTTAGCATTATTCATGGTCTGGTTATTATTTAGTGCCTCAGGGTTCATGGGGGGTACTCTTGCTGCCAGGGTCAATGTGTTGATTTGGATGGTTTTTTAAAAGGAATTTTAAAAGAAAGGGATCCCATAAGTTTGTGGATTTGGGATACATCTAGAATCAAGTGTGGGATGAGCCAAGTGGAATGGAAAGCTTGACCATGAATAAAGATAAGGGGATCAGATATTTTTTTGATGGGGGAATCTTGTTAGCATTATTCATGGTCTGGTTATTATTTAGTGCCTCAGGGTTCATGGGGGGTACCCTTGCTGCCAGGGTCAATGTGTTGATTTTGATGTTTTTTTTTTTTATTTTTTTAGGAATTGTAAAAGAAAGGGATCCCTGGCATGATCCCTATATAAATTCACTATGAAACCATGCAAATTCCATGGGGGATGAGGGTTGGGAACTGACCTTGAAAAAAAATATGCATTTTGCATGGATCCCAATGGGAATTCTAGGTTCTTTTGTGAGCTGGGGAACTCAGGATTCATTCATTCATGTGGGGGGAAGGCTATTTTTTTGAATTAGTTTATATTACTTTGTGTGTTTTTTTCATATTTTTCCCCTGGGAAAAAACGGTTAGCATTATTCATGGTATATTTTTTTTTTCGGGAAATCGGTTACATTACTCTAAGAAGGGCACGCTATTTTTAGATGCTGCTGAAAGGGAAACCAAACGGAAACTGGCCCACAACCTGTTTGGGCTGTCTGAAGCTAACCAGACCGTGTGTGCTGCCAACACTACTCCGACGCCTGGGTGAACAAAAACAACTCCGGGCACCAAGAAGTTCAACAACTTCTTAGGCAAAAAAAACAATTCACCTCTTCGTCCGCGCAACAGGGTGTGTGCTGAACGGGAATTCTCGGGAGAATCTGTTCAACAAGGCCTCAATTGACTCAAATGCCCAAGGAAGCCTTGTGCCTAACCCAACACCGGCCATATCCGGCCATAGATTTTGGCCGGAGAGCATGGGCCACATAATAGGACGCAAAGAGATCCCTTTCCATGCCGATGTGAACAGAGTGCCGGGAGAAGGAACGGGACGCCCAGCCGCGCATCGCACACGCAATGATGGCCTAAATCGGCCACCGGCTTGGACAGATTCACCTTCCATGTCCGTCATGTTTAACTAGAGAGCTGAAAAACCGCAGAGTTTGTTGTAGCGAGATCGCTTTTTGCTTGCCTCGCCGACAAGAATATGCGCAGGATCCCACACTGACCCTGTCTGGGGCCTGGTTGGAAACTGCTGAATGTGAATGTGCGGGATCTGGCCTTCCAAATCCTGCAGATCAATCGCAGCGCACTTTACACCCACTTCGGGTTCGACCATTTACCGTAAAGTATTCATGTGCACACCAAAAGCGGAAATCCCGAATGCCGAAACCACCTGGCTCCAAAGTAGGGATCGGCCCAAAAGGGGTTGCCGATCGGTAAATGGAAAAGTCGACTCAAACCTGCGGTCCCCTGGCTCTCGAAAACAAAGGCCATTACCCGAACAGGGGAGGCCCGGCAACGATATTGACCACTATGCGACGCACAGTTGCTTAAATCTAGATTCTGCCTCTGACGCTTTCCCGGCCCTCGTTGGATTGGTGCCTTCTAGATGCCACCTCACCTGACACTCACGGGACTGAGTAAAATAGGACAAGTCTTCACGTGGCCACTTGGCCACGTGAAAACTGCTGACTGTGTGTCAGCAGAAGCACCCCATACCAACCCCACCCACCCCCGCCCCAACCCCACCTCCACCCCCCCTTTGCTCTTGGAGTAAAAAAGAAAGAAGCCAAACGGATGATGCTTGCAGAGCAGCACCTGCAGCATTTGCTGCGCTCACAAGGCTTAGGACTTCTTTGCTCCCCCTGCGGGTTATAGAATCCTATAGCCTATAGCAATTTTATGGCCAAGGCCAAATTGACGCCGAGGCTGCGGACTTTCATTTTGGCTTTTGACACAACTCCAAAAGTCAGCTTCTTTCGTTTGGAAAATGTCGAGGTCACACGGCGGTTTCTCATTTACCCTCTGCAAGAACGAGGTTCAAATCCAAGTCCAAACCACCAATCCAAACCACCAATTGGGGCTGACCTGAACAAACGGACACACAAGAAACAGACATACCCCTTTGAGTGGCTCGTCTTCTTTTACAGTTGGTACTCCATTTTGTGGCCTTTCTAACGAAATCAAAAGGACACACAACATCCATTTTTGTGTCACTTAAACAAAAACATACATATCAGTTGCCAACATGGCACCTGACTGACAGCTCGTCCTTAAAGAGGAACTTGATCTTCCAGGTACCCTCCCACAAATGCGATGTTAGTGGGGGAAGGGTACGCCATTTTGGCCCGTCCAAGTGTCCCAAGGATCAAAGGTTCGCAGCGTCATCCACAGCAGCTGGCTGTGTACGCGCGTCAGCATACCCAGGAGTGCGACAGAAAAGGCGGCGACACAAACAACCTCGCAGTGCTGAAGTTGAGTCTCCCTTTTTGCGGATCCCTGAAAATGGTTGTATTCCTGTTGGGTTCCCTTCTTGAAACCACCAAACAAGGGGCAAACCTCAAAACGAAAAGACGAGCCACCCGGTTGACAGCTTCCTCGAAAAGCCCTTCCTTGTCGTGTAGGGCTCCCAAAAAACAAAAGGAACCCTAACTTCAAGGTACCTTGCGTAAAGGATGCTGCCTGCCTGCCTGCCTGCCTGCGGGGCAACCTAAACAATCCCTCGCTTCAGGTGCCGGATGGTGCCATTTAAACTTCCATGGACCATATCCCTTCAAAACAGATTGGATCAACTCAACACCACCTCAAGCAAGTCAACCTCTTGATCAGGCCTATTCGGGCTTAGCCTGAGCTAGTGCGCTCTGAGTATGCACATCTCTGATCCCTACGTCAAAAGGCAAAGCCTGCCGCCCTTGGCTACAAGGAACTGACAAGGCCGCAGAGAGCTGTGTAGGCACCGCTGCCAGCACCACTGGCTGGTCGTTCTGAACCTGAACCTCGATGATCTCCTTACCAGATACGCGTCTCCCCAGGTGAACACAAGTTTAAGAGGGCCTCGAGTCAGAGACTTTCTATCACGAACAACCCTGGGGAGCTGCAAATTCAGCTAACCCCCAAAGCCCAAAGCCCAACTGCTGAGCTGGTTTTACTTCTAGGGAAACCCGCCCCAGAAAAAAAAAGAGAGGAAATAGCGGCACCACACGACAGCTGGGTCTCGTAGCAGGTGCCGAAGAAGTCCAGCACATGAAGCACAAGCGCCAAGATAATTGCCTCATCCCCGCGGGAAAACGAGGCGTTGAGCAGGGGGGAGGGGCCCCGGGGAGGGGGGGTTTGTTGAACGTAAGGGAACACACCCGTGATTTCTTGAATTTAAGGAACTTTTAAGTGTGCTTGTTTTTCTTGTTTTTTCGTACCCTTTCTTGGGTGGTTTCCAAGTGAAACCAGCGGACATCTCTCAAAACGAGATTAGTCGACCGGGTTGCGACTGCCATCGGCCACTTCTTCCGAAGGAGGAAGTCACCAAAGGCCATACTGGACATCATATGCCCAGAGAGGATGTAGGCTTTGGCCACCGGCTTCACCACCTCAACTGAACGGCCACGGACGTCCGAACACAGAAAAATGGAAGATATCGGAGGACATGGAATCTGGGCTGCGCTCAGATCCCCTGCTAAAAGTTTAACTTTTAGTGAGTCAAATGGAAACTCCCACTAAACACTAAAACGCTAAGGGGATGGCTGGGAGCCACCAAGGAACACATTGTAAGGTGTAAGCCCTCTGGTTTTGTGGAAAACTTAGTGAGTCCCAAACACACTGAAGACAAGTATGAATCATAATCAAAACCGTCGGTATCAAAATGGTCCAAGCCCAGAACATGATTCAATCATTAAAAAGGCGGCGAAGGCACCCATGTATGGTTGGGATTATCCCTACTAACCTTCATCAAAACATATCAAGAACATGTCTTCCAGCTTCTGCTACAGAACATTTGGGAGTTGATCCATATTACCTTCGCACCAGTGTTGACCATTGGGAATGTTTCCCGTGTGGTTGAAATATCGTGTCTTGTTAGTGGTTCTCCAACCAAAGGTCATCCGATGTTTACCGAACCTTTTGATCAACCCTGCAGGAACAATGGGCCATTTCCCTGCTGTGGATGGACAAAGACATTTCGATCCACCTAAGAAACCCTGATGTCTGATTCGATTTCCCAACACAAATTCCAACAAACAGTGCTTTTTCATGATTTGTTTGGTTGGTGCGAAATGGATTCGTCCATCAACAGGTCACCACAATAAGGCGCTCTGGGCACTCTCAGGGTCCACAAAAAGCTGGCAGATACAGAAGAGGCGGACAGAACTTGAGGGCTGTTCTTAAACCAACGGTCTTGCGATCCAAGAGCAGTGGCTGGCAGTCCGGGGACATTCCAATCGAAGCATGCAAGTCTAGACAAGATACACACACACACACACACATGTTGCACTATGCTTGCGACTGAAATCAAGAACCGAACACCGGCAAGCTGTGACGCCGTTCTCACTTCCTGAGTGGATTGCCCAACAAAGTCCAAACTTTGTATTTACCACTAACATGGTCTTCCCAAACAGCTTCTCAAGTCCGGGACAGGGAGTGAGCGTTTGTCAGGACGAGGCGCCATGATGCGTCCTCTCTTCCCTCCGTCCGCACCCTGGCGGGTGACCTCCGTGCCCGCAGGCACCACTGAGGCCATCTTGAGGCCATGGCTGTCCCGCTTGCGTTTCACCTCCATCCCGGCGCTCTCGCCCCAAATCTCTTTGTCCACTCAAGACTTCGGTCTTGGCCAGGAAGAAAGAGTTTTCTCACGACTTCACTTTTGCCAAGCAAAACACAAGTCGTGGTTTTGGTCAGTAGTGCCACGAATGAAATTGGGCCAGGGTTCTTGCTGCTGCAACAGGTGCTATGACTCAACCAGAAAGGGCCGTTGTCGCATGATCAAAAGTCAAAAACCCAGCCCTTGGTTTCTGATGAATTGAGAAAAAACCTGTGCCCAACAAGACTGGGAGAGCCGGGAGAGCAACGCGGGCCTAAGAAAGCATGCTCGTTCTTCGAGCCTCAGTTTCAGACTATCGGCCCGATGGCAGTTCGGCAGGTGCTCGGACCCGATTCGTTGCACTTGAAAGCCGATCCCCTGCTAAAAGTTTAACCTTTGGCGGGTGAAATTGAAGCCCAACCACTAAACCCGAAACACCCAAAAACCTGGACACACCTAAACCTCTAGGTCAAAAGGCAGCGCCTTTACCGCCTCGAAGTCAGTCACGGAATGAATGGCACGGTTCAAGCGAGAATCCCGGAGCAAACCGCATTCCAAAACTCGATCCCTACAGGCTCCAAACTGGGGTTGATCAATATCCCCTTCGGCCCCCAGTTTTGACCATGGGTAACTTTCCCAGGTGGGCAATATTTTGTTTGGTGGTTTTCCAACCAATGGTCATCCCATGTAAAGGACCTTCTGATCAATCCCAACTATACTAACCTTTCTTGCTGACCTGAAGAACCCTTTGAGTCATAACAATACATGTTCCTTGAACGGATGAAGGGGCACCCAATCCTTGCTCAGCTATGTGATGCTGGGAAATAGGGCAATAATTCGAATCCCATGTCAAATTGAAACAGAGGGATCAAGAAAGATCCTCAGAAGGCGTGCCACGATGACCCGAGCTATTTCTTGAGGGAAACCGGGTGCCAGCGAAGCATCTGAGCACCGGCCTTTTTCTTTTTAAGCGAGGGACTGCGCTCAGTACTCCACTCGCAGTATGCCTCCTGCATATCGTTTTCGATATCTCTCCTGCGAGCGGCTGGCAAAAGAGCTTGGAAAATGCCCAGCTTGACTCTCTCAGTTAGCAGCTTCGAGTCTTTGCAGCATACGCCTTTGGGTGTTTGGTACAGTAGGAAACCCGCTGGACCCAACAAACGGATTCTTCAAAAGTCAACAACCCAAAAGAAGCATCTGCCAAAATAGCCTTGGAGCTCGCAAACCTTCTTGTGAGGTTTGCTTCAATTTGGTGACAATGAGCATGGGACGGATCGAAGGTGCATGCCGAACGCGAATTGCTGGCGCCTTCTCAGGATGTCTCGCCCTTTCGCCCATCTCAACCCATCTCTCAATTCCCGCAACTTGTTGTATTATCTTCTTTAACGTTATCATTATTATCATGTATCATTATTCTTATCAGTTGTTAATATTTTTTGCTCCTGGGATTTAAACGGGATCGGCCTTGCGCTATGGGATGGCAGGAAGCAGTGCCGGACACTCTGCGCAGCTTCGGTATGAGACTGCGGGGTACTTCTGGCCTCGCCGAGCAGTGCTGAACATATGGAGACTCACCATCCCCGTCCTCCAACCGTCCCAGGGAAAAGCGCTGCGCAACCTGCGGGGATCAGCGCAAACAGCTGCCTTTTTGCCTATGGACGTATAAATGAACGGAAGAAAGGTCTAGATTCGAACCGTGGACGAATGCTGTAGTTTCATCTGGCACAGTCAACCACGTGATTCTCCTCTTCGCCTATAAGGCTTCCACGGTTGTCCACTTTCTCGACGTGCATGGAATCATGAGCGGCAGGGTCTTCGGCCAATAGGCAAATGTCCCGAATGTGGTGGCCCATAGAACCTTGTTGGTCTAGACACGGGTACGTCTAAGTGAAAGTAGTGGATCTCCTGTCGCACAGGGCCTGGGCTGTTCAAAATGGAGGCTTGGCCAAACCCGTTTTTCCAGAATCCGTACAGGGAAGCCACTCCAAAAGGGACTAAATCCTGGAGTAACCGAAGGATTAAGGATTGAGGATCGATGGAGTTCAAGTTGGTGGCCCGCTTCGTGGGAATCTACGCGTACCTTGGAAATTCCCACAATGTTCTTCCCAAATGAATCATACTTGGATATACTTGGATTGTAGCTTCCCTCCCTTCAACTGACCCGGCTTCTGACCCAGGGCCCCTTGGAGAGTAAATCGATCTTCTAGGTACCCTCCCACAGGTGCCATGTTAGTTGATGCATTTGGGAAGAACATTGGGTTTAGGGTTTAGGGCTTAGGGTTTAGGGTTACATCTTCGTCATGTTTTTTGGGGTGACCCCGGCCAACATGGCGGCTTTCCTTTCGCTTGCCCTCAGAAAGATCACCTTCAAGCCGCGCTGGTCATCCGGCGCTTGGCATAGGAGGAAGTCCTGACGCGGCGCTCCGCTCTGCGGACTCACGTCATCTGTGCTTCTTGGGACCCACCCTCCCACATTTCTAGGTTCTTTTCAACCATCGTTATTTTAAAAAACCGGCTGTTTCCCTGGGTTTTTGATGGTTTCCTGAAAAGAAGGATCCCTGGAAAGAATGGGGAAGGTACCCTAGAACATTGGCCTCGGTGGTCCTTCTGGTGTTCCTTCAAAGCGACTACAAAAAGGGATACCCTCAAAACAAGAGACACCCATTTCCTCCCCGAGATGGTTGGTATCCGCTCAGGTTTCGCTTCGAAAACGATGGGACCTAATGTTAAGAACAAAACACGCTCAGGGGTGGGCACACGCGCGCACACACACACACATTCACACACACACACACACACACACACACACACACACACGCACGCGCACGCACACGCACACGCACACGCACACGCACACACGCACACACGCACACACGCACACACGCACACACGCACACACGCACACACGCACACACGCACACACGCACACACGCACACACGCACACACGCACACACACGCACACACACGCGCACACGCGCACACGCGCACACGCGCACACGCGCACACGCGCACACGCGCACACGCGCACACACGCGCACACGCGCACACGCGCACACGCGCACACGCGCACACGCGCACACGCGCACACGCGCACACGCGCACACGCGCACACACGCACACACGCACACACGCGCGCACACACGCACACTAGCACGCACACGCACACGCACACGCACACGCACACGCACACGCACACGCACACGCACACGCACACACGCACGCACACGCACACTCGCACACGCACACGCACACGCACACGCACACGCACACGCACACGCACACGCACACGCACACGCACACGCACACGCACACGCACACGCACACACGCACACGCACACGCACACGCACACGCACACGCACACGCACACGCACACGCACACGCACACGCACACGCACACGCACACGCACACGCACGCGCCCACACACACACACACACACACACACCCTGCGAACCCAAAAGAGAGCGTTCTCCTTCTTGGGGTTCCGCACGGGTCCAAAATCGCATTCGGTATTCGTCATGGGGGGAGGGAGGGAGGGAGGGAGGGAGGGAGGGGTATTTGGGCTCCCTCCCCCCATGCATTTGCCGGAAGGGTTCCGGGAAAGCCACCTATTTCGGGAGGCATCCACAAGGCATCGACAAGCACCGCTTTGAGTGTTGCTTGCACGGCCCTCATGAATTGAGTGCGCCTATGCGGCATGAAACTACTCTCTCTGGGCCGCCTCAATGTAAAAACCAAAACAAAACACCAGAGCAGCTTCGTTTCGCTGTTTGGAATACTCGTCAGGTAGATTCCGCTGCTTCCCCGTGACAAACTTCTGGCGGAAGTCCGGAAATCGTTCGGCCGTGGCCAACTGACCGGATCGCGCCTCACAGCGATGCCGCAAACTCGGAAGGTGCTGGGCCTTGGTTGACGGGTCATTGGGGTGATCCTGTTGGGTGCGACCTTTCTTCAGCACACCCCTTCTTGCTAGATTTTGTCAAACCGAAACCCTTCAAGGAGAAAAACACATCAGCTCATGTTGGGACTCCGATTCCTAAAAAAGGACGGCACCCTTTTGCCTGTGGAAATCGCTTTCATTCGCGCCGGAGAAGCCCATAATGCTCGCCCTTTGCCTAGGACCTAGGGCCAGACTTCACGGTCCATTGGCCCATGCAACCTCTGAACCTCTGTCCTCAGATCTGCCAAAAAATGTTTGACTTGGGGGTTAAATTCGGAAACTCAACCACTAAACCAACTAAAAACCACTGGCTGATTCGGAACCACCTCCGAAGCTTGGGTCATTTCAAGCCAAAGGCTTCTCAAAGCTGGCTGGAAATGGCTTGAAGTAACTTGCTGCGATAGGGAATGAATGAAGGATAACCAGTCCCGGTGTTGATTGAACGAATTCCGGTTTTGGGTCGATTCCCGAAAAGAACCACCAGTTGGATGCTGTTTTAGAGGGGGCATTCCATTTCTCATTCCCTGCTGAGGTTCAGCGAGGTAAAGAATTCAGGGTTCTTGTGCCGGATTTCAGATGGACGGCATTCTGGGGAAGCAGACGGGCCCTGGTTGGCATGATACGTGTGGCTGAAAGATGAAAGAGCTCGGGTTACGCAGGTTTTTGTCTTTGCTGCCATCCAAGAGGCCGCAAAAACAGGGTAGCACTGCTGTTGGAGCTAACAATTGAGGTCTGGCCTTCTTTGTTCACCCCGAATCCAGCTTCATAGCCGATAGCTGCGATCCCCAACCTCGACTCGACGAGTTGATGTGCTGGTCATCGCCAAAACTGCCCGTAGACTGTGGACAAAATCCACTCACCAGTCGACAATTGAATGGACCCCTGTAAATTCTGGGGAATAAATCACCTATGAACTGGTGCCACCCACAGTATGGCTCACTGAAAACGCCGTGTCTGGCCGCCATGTGGCCATGTATCCGACATTTAATCTATACGGTTCATCTCGTGCTGGCATGTCCAAGCAATCTGGAACTCAAACGTTGACCGATGACTGAACCTGGACCACTGCTGTTTTGGACTGTCATACTTACCTCCGGAATCTAGGGAATGCTGCAGCTCAAGGGTGGACAAGGGACCCTGGGCTCCCCTTTTGAATTGGAGTGCCGGACCACGAACCCGGATCTGCTGTCCTCAGATCTGCTGGCTGAGTGCAACTGGCTGAAATTTTAAGACCCAAGCACCAACTAAAAACAACCAGACACCAAAGGAACCGGATGGCTGGTTGAACGGTTGAACCACTAAGGTTTTGTCAACCACAAACAACACACCAATCCGCAAGCAGGGCTTTGCTGTGCTATTCGGTAAACAAATGCGTGGCCGTGGGATACAAAGGTGTGTGTCTCAAAATATGGGACCCCCAAGTATGGTGCTTCTTCCTCTGTTTTCCCTTAAGCCAACCCAAAACGGCTACCAAACAACAACTCATAAACCCAAACAAAAAGAAACCGGGAATCCTCACTTCCTGAGTGCGGCCAAACAAATCACCAAACTTTCTGTGAAGCCACTAAAATGGTCCAAACCCAAAAAGGATAACGTCCGAAACAGAACTCAAGAAGCAAACCTGGAGACCAAAGTCCCAGAGCCGCCTCTGCGAGCGCCAGCAACTCCTCAACCGTCGCCCGCGACAGCCGCCAAGCTTCTTCGCCCAGGGGCGGCGGATCCTCGCGATGAAAACAACTCGGAAGCCTTGAGGTTCGATTTGGGGAATGGAACCCTTGGAGAAATGAGAAATCCCTCCACCAATCCAATCTAAACCAAGTAACAAGTATGAAAGCTTGGGCGAACAAGCAAAAGAGGTCCGTCGGAAAAGTGCTTGCAAAGGCAAACTCTGCACCGCGCTACTGTTTGGCCGTGTGAGCTATCTGAGTGTGTCTTTTGTTGGGGGTCCCCCCCAAAACAAACGTGTGTTTTCTTTTGGTCTCCCGTTAAAGTCACCAAAACCGGGGTACCCTGAAAAAAAAAAAACAGAAGGACATCCGGCACTTCTATGTTGGAGCCTCCAGTCCTGCATATTTTTCCAATTGACCAATGGGATTCACGATCCAAAAACACCCCATGGCATCACCAAAACCATTAGAGGTAGGCGACAAAGAACTTGATTTGGAACCGTGTAGGACCCAACCTTGCAAAACAGAAACCGAGATAGCACCACACCAACACACCAACGCACCAACACCCCAACTGCATGTCAACTAGCCAAATCAGGGTGCGATTCCTGTTTTTGAGGGTGCCCCTTTCTCGTGGTTGTGAAGGAAAATCAAAAGGACACCTACCCATCTTTGGGGTCCACCAAAAACTGACATGCCCATCTGCCAAACCAGCACAGACTTGGGAAGAACATGCCCGGACGCCGTGACCCGGACCGCACTTTGGATACAAGTTCAGCCCTGCAAATGGCAAAAACGAAAATAGACCCAAGAGAGATCTGGACACAACTGCAAGAATCCTTTCTTGCAAACCCTTCAAGTGCGACTTCTTGCCGCTGTCTGTCGGAGGCAACCTGCCTCCAGTTTGCGCTTGGAAGCCCTCCGCTCCTCAGCGTTACAGCATGGGCCAATAACAAGCATGAGGTCACCACATCGACAGCGCGTTTTGTTCAAAGCTCTTGAAGTGGACCTGACCATGCACTCACAAGATGAGACGAGGCACCGAAAACGGGGTGAGGTTGCTCACGTTCGCTTGGAGCCCCATGCTTCCAGGCACGCCGCCAGCAACTCACTAAATGCGCAGCACGTCTCCGAATTCCGAATGCTATGACGTGAAAACTTTAAACGCCCACAATTTCGAGCCACATAGCACAGCAAACAATGACTTACACGCAGCAAGCCAGGAAATAATATCTCGAGCCTCACAAACAAGCAATTGTCCACTGCCCAGAAACTCTGCATTTGAGCCAACGTGCTGGAGGGCGGCATAAGGCACCAGAGCTGTCACAACCTTCAGTATGGCTCCTGGCATACCCGTGAGCCACAAGCTCTGAGCTGAAACTGCTCAGCATATCCGTTGGGGTTTCCTTTAAGGAAAATTGTCAAAGGCTGAATGCATATGTTCATATATGAACCCCTGTTATGAACCCCGTTATGTTATTGGACAGCCTTGGCTGTGTTTTGGGGGAAATCAGCCCCGCAGGGTCCGTTAAATGGCCATGGGCCATATATTATGGACCTATACAATATGGCTTTGACATTAGTTGAGTTCCTCTATCCAAAGCGGTTCTTTTACTTGTGCAGGGTTTTGTGGGTGAGCGCCATGTTCTCACTTGAGCGGATTGACCAGAAATCGTTCCCCCGGTATATCCATGCATGGCTTGTTCATTTGTTTTGCCACACTCTATTTGGGATGGATACAAGAAGTGTTGCCTGAAGTTGTCTGGGAAGCCAGGCTAAACACCAGGACTTCAAGGCCAAGGCGAAGCCCACCGAGCCACTTTTCGGCGGCGCGTCTTTGTGTAGGCCCCACGAAAAATTGGCGGGGTGTCCATTTGGCGTCCCTTTAAAGCTACAACGAAAGATAGAAAGGAACCTGCAGAAAACAAGGTTGGAATCCAGAGGTGAAACCTAGAGAAAGCAGCATTCGGATACCTGGGAAGCCTTGGTGATCCAGATAAACTGATAAACCCGTAGCAACATTGTGCGCGGCCCTCATCTAACCGCTGCCCTTTGTTTCCCCGAGATAAGCTCTTGATACGTATCAAGCCCTCATCAGTCCTGTGGGAAAACAGGAGGGGGTGCTGAACTCGCGGAGACGGTCGTTCAATCTTGATTGCCGCAGAAGCCGAGTGCCCAGCCCTTTTCGCCGCCTTCACGTCCGGGCATGGGCAACTGTCGGAGGATTCCTTGAGCTTTCTCCGGCGCCAAACAAACCACGGCCTTCAAATATCTGCTCACTCAGGTGTTGCATCTGAATTTGGGTTCGTGACATGCGTCATCCTCAGTTGCTGTTGACCCCTCCGCAAAAAGCTGAACTTGCTGATCCAATGGAAAATCCGACCTGCTTCAACCAAAAAGTTCTTCAGTCCAAAGATCTGCTGCCGAAAAGCCATAGAGACAAGTCATTTGTCAAGAGCAATTTGCATCAATGCTGGAGCTGACAATCGCTTGCCTTTGAACACCGGCACTGCTCACTTCTTCGCGGGCCAGCCGCATCGCCACTTGGGCTTTGTCCACCACTCGCCGACCTCGCTTAAGCAAACTCCACAAAGCTTCTCTAGTGGAAAGGTAAACCCACTCGCAACCTTGCTATGGTGAAGAACAGGTACCCCTAGAAGTGTACCCCTCCTGAAGAGGGTCCCATTCTTTTCCGGACACATATCAACAAAGGCAGCCTCAGCAAACGCAGCGGCAGCTCAGAAATTCCACGGTTTCACGAGGATAATAAATGCAGATAGCCTTCCACTGGCAAGTCTTTGCTCCTCCTTCAACAGCAAGCTTGCCTTGCACCCCAGCATACATTGGGGACGTGTACAGGATGCTGATCCAGCGAGACAACATACACTCCAAACACACATCTCTTGATTGGAGCCTCGCTCCAAGCAACAACATCTCCAATGAAGACTGCACAAGAACACCTTATTGAAGCCCTGTAATGTTGACCGCGGATGAATACACCCCTATTTATTAATACGGGTTCGTCCCTAGATAGTTTTTGTGAATTGTCTTTTGGAGGGGAACGCCCCCATATATCCGGTCAACATAAGGCTTCTGGCCACAGGATGGACTTACAAATCCCTGAGGTGTCTTGCCGTCTTGCCCGTGAGTTGCTTGTCCGGCCTTCTTCTCGTACTCTTCATATTTGTCTTGCCACCTGCGCCAAACACCGAGTCAGCCCAAATCAACTGCCCAAACTGGAAATATAACAATCCCTGCCCTGGCAACCGACAAGAAACCACTAGTGGTGAACCTTGCGCATCCATTTTGCTCGTCCAGTGCGAGCCTTGACCTGAACACGCTGGCTTATTGGATTGTCCAAGGTCCAACGCGCAAGTCTTTTTCTGTACCTCCACTAGCCACCATTGACCGGGGGTATTCATCAGAAGTAAATCCAAGATTTGAGAACACACACGCAAACGGTGATTAAAGCACTCTGCGCTCTCTTGCGGTATTAATATCTACATTTCATTTATGTATCAGAAATTGCGATCTGTATTTAGGCTGGGTTTGGAACAGGCATTTCTACTATTAGGGGTTGGCTAAAGAGTCTATAAAGAAAACTGTGTTTGTTTGCTGGCTTGGAACTGTCGAGAAAATAATATGAGAGAGGTGCCGCTGATTTGCTCGTTGTGGCTTTACTGCGCCACGGCGAGCCACTTTTGGTTCTCAGCCACTTAAAACGCTACAGTATCTTGGCTGGAATTAGGACCCCTGCAAAAAACTCTGTATTTTCCTCGGTTAGTGGAAAACAAAGGGGACCCCCAACAAGCAAAAAATCGAAAAGGGAAGCTACTTCTGGGGAGGTATTTTGAAGCGATGGATCCATGCCAATGGAGCCCGCGCTTGACATCAAACAGCGAAATGTTGTAGTGGGCGCTTTGGGTCTGATTCTAGGTCCTCCAGTAGAGAGGTTAGAATACGGGTACCCTTTTTTTCTGTAGTCTATTTTAGTAGGGGAACCCTCCCCCAAAAAAGGGTAAAAGGGCGCTACTGGGGCCTGGGATTCCTACCAATATTCCAAATGGCATGGACCCCCATTTTGTAGCGAAAATGCATGAACAGACAAACACAGGAACACAAGCCATGAGAGGCGAAATGGCTTCACCCAAGCCCCAATCCCTACAAAATGCCACACTCACCAAACCTCATAACTACAAAATGAAATCACCAGGAACCTTTTAACATGGCCCCAAATACTAGTCAAAAAAGCTTGGGCTCTACAAAATTAGGGCATGACCTGGGCTCAACCCATGTTGTGGTCCTGAAATGGGCGTGACCCCTTCTGCTGTATTAACACGCAGGAAAAACAAGCGCGCACACACACACACACATCTATGGGGAGGTCAACCCCCATTTTATGCGGGCATGTGGGCCTGTATTGATGGCGTTGAAACGCAAACCTAAAGAACATAAACCAGCTCTGGTGCTGCGGTGGTCCTAATTTAGGACAAATACCCGAATGCGGCTCATTTTGGACACAATGCCGTGCGACTCGGCAGGGGTGCAACAAAGAACGAGCAAGCAAAAAGCAAAATCATGAAGCGAAGCGGGTGTAGGCAACAAGAGCAAGCCGGCAAAGGCGTGGAAGAGGCCGAAAACCAGGCAGCACAGGAATGCAGCTGGGCATGCAGCGGGCCTGCCAAATCCATGTTCCAAGCATATGTGTTGTGGAACCAGGATCCTTGTCGCGACGCCAACGCCCAAGCGGCGCTCCATGGGCCAGCAACGCGACGATAGCAAGGGAAACAATAGCCGCAAAGTAGCAATGGCCACTTTGTGGCAGTCACAGCTGGCTTGCGGCGCAATCCAACTCTGAATCGGAGGTGCATCAAACTCCGTGGCTTTTCGCAGAATGAAAGGCATGAGAAACCCGACGGAGCGCCAGAGAGTTACTACTGCGAACGAAGAGTTTCTGAACCCGGGATGCTCTCGGAGCCTCAAACGAACCCCGCCGTTTTTGACACTCCGAGACCAAGGCGAGACTATGCGAAAGGAGAGCGGAGCGAATTCCTGACAGGCGAACTTCTCGAGGAACGTGCAGCCGAATCCTGAAGTTCAACGGGATCAACGGATATAACTTGAAGGTGGAAAAGAATCAAATTTCATCATGTCACCTCGCTTCCCAACAAGTGTCAAGTGTATTGGCCAAAAAAAAACATTTTTACATTTGCCACCAAACTGGTGTTCCCAAAAAGTGACTCAAGTCCACCTCGGGAAGTGATCAAGTCACTCCGGGTCGATGGCGGAAAGTTGGAAAGTTGGTCGCGTCTTCCAAAGATAGGAGACGGACTGAGGGAATGCGGTGGCCAGAGGGGGGACCTGGGGAACCTGACCAAGTGGAACTGGGGGGGGGAACAAGACAATGGTGGCGCCAACTGGTCGCAGGACTTGCTTGCCGCAATTCTGGCAGTGTGGGCCTCAAAAAGAGTGGGCGTGCAACCGGAGGTCCTTTTGGAGGATGTCATGTCCTTCACCATTTGAAGGTGCGTTCATTTTGAGGGTCTCCCTGTTCAGGGCTTGGAACAACATGTCCTTCACTGGTGAATGCACCTCACACCTTGCTCTTGGGACTTCGTGAATTTGACTCGGATGCTCAGTGTTGGGCCATTGCCATTGCTGGTGTCCATCCTTCCATCCTTCCATCCATGCGACCCCGCATCCCTGCATCCATGCGTCCACGCATCCAGGCATCGATCCATCCATCCGTCCGCCTGTCCATCCAGACATCCATCCATCCACCCACCCAGCCATCCATTCTTGCATCCATGCATCCCTCCATCCGTCCGTCCATCTATCCTCCCGTAGGTCCATCCATGCGTCCCCCCGTCCGTACAGAATCGCCCCATTGTTGAAAATTCAGCCCAAGGAGAACGCCAACAGAATCCTTTGCCCGTTTCTCGTTCGCAAACCATTCGAAACATCGGTGACTTGAACCAATGAAAATTTGACCCCCACCCATGTTTGGCTCGCCAGAACCGGGAACTCGTGACGCAGGCCTCTTGGGGAAGTTCCCGTGACGGAGCATGAGCTCACGGTACTCCTACGAGGAAGCCGACTCGGATCCGGTGGTCCCTTCCGATTGGTTATGGGATTGTGTTCCTGGTTCAACCGCATGTACAGGTCTCTTGCGCGCTTTTTTTGGGTCCCACTTGGTGGTCTATGAGAAGGGGTATATAGATCATTTTTGTTGGGCAGCTGGTTTCAAAGGAAAGCCCCGCCCAACACTTTTGCTTGTCCTGTGCATGTGAAATCATGGTATTTGTTATCCTGTTTGTTTTTTCCCGCAAACGTTGCAATTCGAACCCAAAACGTGGTCAAACTTTTCAGCCATTTGAAGTACTATGACCCCACTAGATTTCGGTTTGCCATGCGGTGTCCCTTTCAGCCAAGCTGAGAAGGGTGCTCCTCAAAAACCAGACAGACGGAGAAGTCTGGAAGTCAAGGCAACGAGGCCTTGACGAAATCGGCTGACATGAGTTCCATGGACTGGGAAAGCCGATGAACCTCTCTTCGACTCGCCATGCAGTTGTCTTTTTCCCCCCCCCCTAAACAAATACAAATGTGTGTGCCTTTGGCTTCCCCTTCAAAACACCCACAAAAACAGGATACCCTCAAAAAAAGACGCTCGAGCCGCATGACCTTGCCAATAGAGTTCGAGACATGTCAAGTTCCCGATGGGCATTCTTGCCGATCAGTTTATCACGTTTGCTTTGCCTTGCTTCGCGCTTGAAAGAATTCGGCCGGGGCACATACACTCAGGTTCAGTGAATGGCTGTCCCTGAAGCCTTTGTTCATAACCCTTCAGACTGCCAGCGAACTCCATTTACGTTGCCACTGTGGCGAAATTTACGGAGCAAGCCATGCAACATCCGTTGGACAACTACCCTGACCAACTCTAGTAAATGGAAGCATGGGTACAGTGGAAGAATTCGGTTACCTACCCAATCGTGGGGTCCTGAATGTTAGAAAATAGAAATATGGCGAGGCGGCCAAATACTCAAGAGGTCCCCGTGCCACCAGCGAGTTCCTATCAAGAACTTGTTGCGGCTTGATTTCCTTTTGAGAAAACCACCGTAGTGGTGATTCCATTCACCACAAAGGAGCAAACGATCAGGTAAAATCTAGAGAAAGTTAACAGATTGCAGCAAAAAAAGCGGGAAGGACCATGGTCCTTCGGAAATAAAAGGAGAAGGATTCAACCCGAGCCGATCAAAAGAACCAATGTTCGATCTCATGTTGTGAGGACACATGGGTGTGAACTTCAATACATCCTCTGGTGGGCATCTAGGGTTCCGATTCTATGTGTGCAGCAAGCACTTTGGGGTTGACCCCACTCCAAAATATTCGCTGATGGTTTTCTGCCGGACTGGAACTCTTTAATATATAGCTGGGGGGGGGTGATATGTACCTAGAGGCGAATTCACGACCTTTGCCCTCGCCCCCTCGCCCCTTCGCCCCTTTTGGACCTGACTGCCCTGGGTGTAGTAGCCATGGGGGCCGGTCACGTTCTTGGCCAGAGGCATACCGGAGACCTGGCGGACTGTTGCACCCTACCCGCGGCCTTGCTGCACGTTTCTCTTAAAACGAGGTGCCCCACCGGCCTCGCTTGCTTGGCGGGCCGGAAAAAGAGCATGAGAAGCCAAAGCCCGATGGCAACGAGGCTCCAACTTTCAAACCGTTCCATTGACACAAAAACGGCCCAGGAGTGGTGGAAGAAAAAGCCCTCGGGTTGGACGCAAAAGCCCGTTCAGTTCCAAGTATTTTCAGCAGAGTAACCTCCCGAGACAGGAAGGAAGTCCAGAAAGCCACCGAGCTTGACTTATTGCCAGCTTGGCTGAATCACTGCAAGCCCCGCTGCGCTATCTGACGCGACCCGATCATTGTTTTCCTCCCACAAGCAATGCCCCACAGCCACTGTTGCTTTGCAGTGAGGGGAAGCGGCGGTTGACATTGACACGGATTGGCTTGGCTGAACAGGCAACGTTTGGCCGGGCAACACATGAAACGCCCAGGCTGGCCCGATGTTGACATGGCGATGATTGTTCAGCACGAAGCCACACCAAACCTGCAACCGAGCTTTGAAGCCAAGCTGGACCACAGAATAAGACAAAAGGCATCGCCGGCATGGTGCACCCACCAGCAGCGAGCCCGTGTGGGTCCAGCAGCGAGCCCGTGTCTTGCCCAGTGGCTGCCCGCTTTGAAAATTGTGCGCATTTAAGTTATGCCGAGAGAAACCATGGCTCCAGTGAATGCGAAGCTTGGAGTTGATAAAACCCTCGGTGACATGAACAAAAGCTGCAGGTCAAACGGAAAGCAACAGCGGCCGCCGGACGGGCTGTCATACTGCTGGGCCCGGCGGCATCATAGCCTCACCCGCCTCCAGCGCGGGAATCGCGGGAATGTCTTTGGAATAAACGGGATGGCCACGCAAATATGTGCAGGCCATAATGTCATTGTTCTGAACTCAAAGGAAGTCTTGCAACTCTTTGTCTCAGGGGAACAACATCTCATAATCTTAGGGTGGTAAGCAGTGGTATCCTGTAATGTGCTTCTCTCCTACATTTGTTGGGCATGAGTCTTCAAATAGTTTACAGCGCAACTCTGAGCATGGCTTCTGTTCTGCAAACATCTGCAAACAATTTGTTCTTCCATGACTCGCTCCGCACTGCATTTCCATTGAGCAAGCAGGATTGGGCACGAGTGTCAATTGAGCAGTGCCCAAAAGCCTCTCGCGACAAGTAGCCTCAATATGAGTAAGTGCCTAAGATTTGTGGGTCAAACAGGTTGAATGTAGCCAGGCTCTCACTCGTATCCCTGACTGAAAACTAAAAGAAAACCTCCGATGGGAAGGCGCGTACACCTAGCTTTACTGTGTCCGATCGCTTTCCTGTGCTCATCTGGGGACCCCGGAACGGGCGGCCCGCTATGCACCCTGTTTGGCGACTATGGGGCATATGATTTGGGATCGGGGTACAAACAGCCAGAGTCCTGTTCAAAATGGGCTCCACAGGGAGGTCTGATTTGGACTTTTGGCCGGTTCAGTTGAAACATAAGGGAATCCAACTGTTTGAGCTAGCTTCATTCCCGCACGGGGAAGACACTTCACAGCAACATCACCGCAGATTTCATGAGGTGGTGTGGTCTTCCTTCATGTGGACTTCAGGTATTCGCAAAGACCATGGCCGATCATCGGTGGTCCTAACTTGGTTCTTGATCTCCCTTTCGTCGGGCCAAACCGCGTGATTGGGTCCAGTTGCCAATCAGACATGAAAGGTCAAGCTTTTGGGGGCAGGGCAAGAAATGGACCATGGGAAAACCAAAAGGTCAAAAGAACGGCTCTGGACAGTTGAGTCAAGAAATACAAACCGTCTGACCACCTCCGGTTAACGAAGGAATCCGAGGGGCAGCTCGTCGAGACCTTGGGCCCTTCTCCACCTTGATGCCGTCCGGTGTGACGTGCCACACGTAATCCTCACTCCGGTTTCAGCGAGCTCAGTCTTGGGTCGGTCCCTTGGTGGGGTTTTCAGGGAAACCAAAAGGAAAACCACTCTTGGAGGTTCTCCTATTTGAAACCCCATAGCGATCCCTATATTGATCAATGTTGTCCCCTTCCTGTTCCTAAAGAGAAGATATTTCAAGAGACATGGACAAGTACAAAGGCATCTTTGGGGGACCCTTGTGCTC